GATAGGTTGAATGTCCTTACTGTTAGCGGTTATGTTTGGTATTTTACTTCGGGTGATGTTGTAAGTTATAGTTGTATGTAATTCGGGTTTATTAATATATTGAGGTACTCTTTTCCTCCTTCCGCTAGTTGCCTCTTCTCAAGAGGCAACTATGAGGGAAGTTTTTAATGAGACCTCCTATTCCTATCAAAAAAAAAATATTTCAAGCAAAACCTAAAATATAATGCCAATGAGGCCTCGACTTAACGGAAAATGTAGGCCCTATACACTTTGAGATCCCAGGTTTAAGTCCCACCACACACGGGATCTCTCCAGATTTATTCTGGTTTTACTCCAAATATATTCCGGCTATTAGTCTGGCAGTTCATTATAATGACTGTAGTTACCAAGATTCTGTTGACTGTCATTATAAATTCTATGACCTCTTGAAACCACTTTCATTGGTGCATTTGACTCAAGCTTATTTTATTAACTTAGAATGCCACAAAATCATCTATTGCCAACTGGATTGTTCTATTGGCACACTGTAGAAGCACTTAATGACACAATATGCCAAAATTTCAAATTTAGCATCTATCAAACATGACATCATAGAAGCATTTGTAGCTACCTGATTACGAGCACGAATGACATCAGCTTCTGAAACACGATAAGCTAGCTTGGTTATCTCGTGCATAATAGCAAACGCCAAATCATCTAAACAATCAGGCTGAAATCCACGTATAAAACATAGAATTTAAATGAAAAAATACAAATACAAATACAACAGCATATAGCCAACAGTTACACATGCCAAAATTTTTTGTCAAGTCCTATCCGATTACGGGTTTGAGTGTGACCAACATTTTGGAATATCATATCCTCCTACCCATATCTCAGACTCGGGAGTGAGCCAGTTACAAGTCTCTGACCATTTTTGTAGATCACATCCTCCTATCCATATCCCAAAATGTGTAGGACACTGGTTTTGAATATAAGTATCTCAACAAAAATGGGTGTCGTATAAGAGTATTTCTAGAAAAATGAAGAATCCGACAAACCTAGGTTAAGCCAAGGCAAAAGTAGGGAGGAAAAGGCAGCAACCAGATAAGATGTTAAGGCCTCAAGAAGATGAATTAAAAATATCAAGATGATATCCAAGAATATTACAATCTTTTATCTGAAAACACAGTCAACAGCATCGATGCCTGATGCCAAAAAGACACCAAATAATATGACCATAACAAAACACTACAAAAACATATGGCAACCTCACCTTGGCAACCGCATATACACCAAAAAGACCGGTATCTTTATAGTTGGTGTTGAAGGCCATCATGCTTTCCGCAATTTCATTAATACTGACTCTTTGTACCAGGTCAGAGCTGTTTAAAGGATTTCAAAACTAATCAAAACACTGAGAAAACGTACGGGTTTCATTGTGAAACCGAAACATGGCATATTTAAATTGCATTTCGAGATTCAACAGAAGAATAAAACTCACCCCATGTGCTTTCCACCCCCGACATTTTTGCTCCATGAACCCAACATTGCCTGCATAACCATTAGTGCAATTGAATCTGGATCCGTCCAAGATGCTCCCTCAAAAGCAACCGCAAATTGTGCCACAGGAACATCATCATTGATCATTCTAACCTGATTTTTTAATTAACAAAAATAAATTTAAACATTAGAGGGCATATTACAGCATAAAACAGTTCAAAATTTACTAAAGGATGATACCCGCACCTCGGAACCAGTAAAAGTGGCCGGTTCATTCATAACTAACTGTGAACCAGTGATTGGATCGGATGATAACTTGGTAAACAACTTCTTAACTTGCTCAACAATTTCCTCATGCTTAACAGCCCCAGATGCAGCAATGACCTGTTATGGTTACCAAATAACACAATTTGAAGAGCCTGCCAACAACTCTTGCACAAAGTACTTGCATGATATGCTTGGAGATCAATGGAATATGAAGATATTCATTTGCTTTTGACTTTAAAGCACTTGATCTTGACATACATGAAGATACACAAGAAAAGCTAATTAGAGCACAGCATACCATTCTTGGAGCAGTGTAGTGTGTCTGAATATAGTTCTGCAGATGGTCTTTGGTGATTGTCCTAATATTGTCGGCAGGTCCCAGAATAGTCCTACCCAGTGGAGTATATTGGAATGCAGTTGAATGCAAATGGTCAAAAATAACCTCCTCTGTTTGACCCTCAACCTACAAAAATTCACCAGATTTGAGCTTTTCTTATGGATAATCAACAGAGAACCAAAAGCAAGTGCAGTTGACAAAACCAAGGCAACATTAACTACAAAAAATTAATGATAATAAACTTCCTTATAATGCTAGACAAAAGATTATTTGACACCCCACTGCTCACATAGGAGTGCAAAACATGAGCTTGCAAGCAACTCGGTTTCAGATTGAAAAGAATTCAAATCCGGCTTAATCATTGTCTAATTGAGCTTGAGCAGCACAACATATCAAGTGAAGTCATGTATCCTAATGCTTGACATGAGCAGCTTGCAGGCTTAATCGAGCTTTTTTAATTTATAATATAAAATATTTTAGCAAAACTAACTGAGCAGGAGTTCAAACATGAGAATCAAGCTCAATTTTTTTTAATGTAAACACAAACAGTTCCCAAATTGTGTTGGTCTTTAAAATGGAACATGATCGAGCTCAAACTGAACTTTGAGCCTAAAATTTCAAGTTGAGCTTCTCGCAACTTCAACTAGGATTGGGTTGTACACATACCCACAGAAAAGAGGGGGGGACAAGATGAAATATGTTATAAAATCATTGTTCTGTACAAAAAGCACAACTCTATCACAACCTAACAATCAATGCAAAGAGGTCTCTAAACCCATGTAACTCCTATATAGCACATGTAGCCAATAAACCCCAGTTATAGCTAAACATGTCAAACAAAGCAAGAAACTTTTACACAGAATCTAGGACCACCTTGTACCTTCACATATTAGTAAAAACAGAAATAAATTATTATCAACAAATAGAATAAATTTAACTGTAAAAATTCAGAAGCCATCAGTTAATGGAATCAATATCAACTTTTTGCTCCTCCATTACTTTAATTTCAAATTCTTTTCCAAGCTAATCCAACACACCAACCAAACACATATTTAACTCTTCTGTTCCCTAAAAATAGATAGTTAACATTAATACCCATATCAAAATCCTGACCCCTCCCCCCAACTAAAAAAAGACCTCCACATACCTGGCTACCTCCCATATTCCCAGAAAATCAGATTGAATACATGATAAAAGCCATCACACGTCAGCCAAAACCAATCATTAGAAACCCAAATTTTGTTAATTGTGGTCTCAAAATCACTTCCTTCTCCTATCTTCCTCAAAATTATACTCTACATTCCTAAAGATAATATAAATATATAAACATATTTAGATCCACCCATTAATCTAAAAACGTTTTCAGCTACTTATCACATACCAAGGAAAAACAAACATAAAAAAATTATTCCCTTCTATAATCCCTAAACACAGAAACACCAAATACATTTTACATATAGGAATCATATATTATTTTAAAAAATGCAAATCCCAAAATATTCAAGCTTCTTAATTACCTCTTCCATTTCTCTTAGAATCACATCCCTTTCCCTACTAATTCTATGTTCCTGGAACTTCGAATTCTGCAAGATATCAGCCAATATATCCAACGCTTTAAAGACATTTGTATCCATAACTTTAGCGTAATAAGTTGTCTGTTCCCTGGAAGTATAAGCATTCAAATGGCCACCATATTCTCAATCTCTTCTTCCAGTTCCCTCGCAGACCTCTTCTCTGTCCCTTTAAATATCATGTGTTCCAAGAAATGCGCTGTCCCATTCGTCTCCTCGGTCTCAAATCGCGACCCTGCATCGATCCAGACCCCAACAGTTGCCGTGCGGGATGATAGGGTAGATTCAGTTGCCACACGAAGACCATTGGGCAAAGTTGTGATCTTGGTTTCGGGGGAGATAAGATGTGGGTGTGAGATGTCATGGTTGGGTGAGGGGAACCATATTTGAGGAAACGAGGATCTGGGTTTTCAAGCTTTTGGAGCTTTGATTTAACTTCGACGGCTAAGCGGTCGTAGATCATGGAGGTTGGTGGAGGAGGGGAGATCTCTTTAGATTCGGCGGGTGCGAGCGAAGAGGCGGCCGAAGAAGATGATCGAGCAGCGGTGAAAGAGAATGATGGTTTGTGGGACCGCCGAGCTAGGGAAAGAAGCTGCTTGATCGCCATTTTTTGACGATTTCTTTTCTTCTACCGTGTAATTTTTTAGGGTTTGTAAGAAATTAGGGAAGATGCAGTCGAAGATATTAGTGCAACTCTTGCTTAAACTATGTCGTTTTAAAGCTGAAAGAAGAAAGGGCGAATATATCTTTATGCAATTTTAATTAATATTTAATCATCGTTACAATTTAACAATTTATAATTTTGTTTGTATTATTATTTGATATATTAACAATTTAACATACTCTTGGAATTTATATTATTGTTTCTATTAGTATCTGATATATTATTGTTGGAATTTATATTTATGCAATTTTAATTAATATTTAATTATGCGTTACAATAAATTTTTTAATAGTTAATATTTTTTATTTTTATAATACGAATAAAAATATATTGCATATTATAAAATAATTCATATACTTTTTATATTTTAAGAAATAGAGAAAACATTTATCAACGGGTGTTGGTTCAAGTAATAAGTAGTTTGATATCACTTAAACAGATTTCGAATTTAAATTATTATGTACGTAGAAAATTTCAACCTCGGAAATTGAGAGGAAAAAAAAATAAAGATAATACCTTTATAGTGTGGAAATTGAACTTGGGTCTAAAAATTTAAATACATTTGAACCCAGAAATAGCATATAATAAATTTAAAAGGTAAAATTAATCTTACATATTATTAAATAATTATAAAATTTACAGGTGGATCTACCCACCACCTGTCACGAGCAACCACTGCTTCAACTGCAAGAGGAGCTTCCTCAATCCACACCATTTGAGCTAGGAAAGAACAATTCACCTTAGCTATGGCATGGGCTGTAGAGTTTAGGAGCGACGAACAAAAGATAAAGATAAGTTATCAAAATCCTTCGCCATTTCATGGGCATTCGAAACAATAGCTCTAATTTTGATCTGTCATCTGTTGCAGTCTTGCAGATGTTTTTCTAATAACCATTTGAGCATCTCCTTCAACAATGGCACTGCGAAACCCAAGATCACGAGTTAGACAGACTGCCTGCTCACAAGCCCAAGCTTCGGCTGCCTCGGGGTTGGGTATATTCTGATTAGGAATCGAACTCGCCGCCATGGTAAGACCTTCGTTGTTTCTAATGATAATTCCAGAAATCGATGACTTAGAAGATAAATCAAAACTTGCATCAAAATTTGTTTTTACCAAATTAGTCGGAGGAGGAGACCAACGATCATGGTTTAACATTTGTTCAACTACTGGTAAGAAGTTGCTTGCATCGAGTTCAACCATGAATTTTTTAATAAATTTTGTTAACTCCCCAGGACTTTGGATAAAATTATCATGCATCCTCTTGTTTCTATATGACCATAAAGCCCAAGTGCCACCACGAAGAGCTTACATTGAGTCTTTAAAAAAGCATTGAATAGATTAGATAACCATAACATCCACTGATGCTCTACAGGTATTGGAGGAATAATTAGGTTGAGCTCGGTTAATACTTGGTGGAAATGATCACAATCCTGAACAAGATGAGCAACAGTTTCTTGGTCGATGTTGCACAAGATACAGATGGGGGAAACATTCACTCTACGGTTGAAAAGATTAGCAACAGTAGGGATGTAGTTCTTGAAAAATCCCCAGCAGGAGATCTTGATCTTTGGTGGTAGAGGGAGTGCCCAGACAATATCATAGAGTTGGGAAGTGTCTTTTTGCAAGAAAGAGGGATCGCCTAACGGAAAGCAAGCCTCACCAAGGAGGAGTCCGCAACCAACCTTAACAGAATATCGACCTGAAGAATCATGACACCATATTAGAATGTCTTGCTGAGCTATTCTAGGGAGAGGGATACTGAGAATGGTAGCAGCTTGGTCAGCAGTGAACAAGGCATTAACAATATCTACAATCCAGGTATCAGTCACAGGATCAATTAAATCTGCAATTGTTTTGTGACTAATATCAATAGTGTTAACTTGTATTCGACCATTACCAGGCCCAGGTAACCAAGCATCATTCCATATGCTGATGGAAGATCCACAGCCTACTCTCCAACCGACCCCTGCTGCAAGAGACCCCTGGTGCACCAAATACTACACCCAGTATATGACGGGTAAGATCCTAAATCAGCGTCCATAAATGACTTGTTAGGAAAATAACTACCTTTCAACATAAGCGCTAATAAGCAATTAGGATTTAAGAGAATATGCCAACCTTGCTTTACTAAAATTGCGATATTAAACTTAGCTAGGTCACGAAAGCCCATACCTCCCATATTTTTTGGCAAACAAAGATCGTTCCAACGAGTCCAGTGAATTCCTCTTCGAGTGCCATTTTTACGCCACCAAAACTGATTTAAAATATTTTCAAGTTCATGGCATAAAGATAAAGGAAACAGAAAGCATTGCATGGCATATACAAGATTCGATTGAAGAACCTTTTATAAGAACTAATCTAACAACTTAAAACTAATAAAAATAGAACTAATGACAATGAATGATAAGTATCATTAATACTAAGATAATAGGATATGATGATACATCTGCAATTAACTTATCACAACTCAAATACCACGTATCTATGAAGATTGCAAACATTTATCAATATAAGAGAATCTTTTTCAAAATAGATATAACTTCAGTGTTTCTTCTGCATATGAAACCTTGAAGTCGCAAACTTGGTCTCCCGTGATACTATTTGGAGATTGGTTTGGAAACTGAAAATACCACAACGGATCCGTGTCTTTCTGGCCTACGCTTCATGGGAGACTCATGACTGACCAGGAACGTGCCAAGCGAAGACTCACCAATGATACTACCTGCTCGTTTTGTGGGGATTCTGAAACTATTTTACATGCACTTCGTGATTGTCCTGAAATTAAGCAATTATAGTCGAATGTTATTCCCTTAACTTGGCGTGGTACCTTTACTCCTTACATGTGCGTGAATGGCTTCTTCAAAATATTAAAGTTCAATCTGCTAGCAGCCAGCCAATGCTCGTGGAACAAGTTTGTTGCCTCTTTGATATGGGAAATATGGAAACGACAGTGAAATTTTATTTTCTTGCATGATTGTGTGTCTACAGATTCAGCTCTCCATATTGCTCTAACTTGGGCGAGGAACTTTCAAACCTGTTTCCGTCCCCATGGTGAAGCTTCGCAAAGCATCGAAAGAGCAGTGCAATGGGAGAAACCTTTGGCAGGGTGGATATGTGTTAACACATATGGTGCTGCTGCAAATGGTTGTTTGCGAAGTGCCGCAGGGGGATCCATGCGTGACTGTGAGGGTAACTGGCTATGGGGCATGTTCACTGGTTTAAGCATTGCATGGGGCCAGGGATATGAAAAAATATTCTTCAATCCGATTGCCTTACTGCTGTGAATATGGTGAATTCAAATGACGATAGTGTTGATCACTGTTCCTTGGTTCGAGCAATTCGAAGTTTAAGAAAACGAGCATGGGCAACACGTATTCAATGGAAGAGAAGATGTAACGTAAGAGTAAATAAAATAGACTAAAATACACATAATTTTATAAGAAGAAATACTTGTTAAACAAAAAAAACAAATAAATTAAAATATGTAAAACAAAACTTAGAGAAATAAATAAGAAAAGAAAAAAAAGAAATATATGGAGATATGAAAGAGTCAGTTCTCAAGTCATAACAAATGATAATTAATTATGTTTGAGTTGAAAAAGTCAAGTAATTTGATATATATTTTTACATGTCCTGATTGAATGTGTCATATTTATAAGTGACATTGAATAAGTAAACTCTTTTATATGATTTCAGTGAAATAAAATATTTGTTATTTTATTTATTTTCATTACGACTAACCATGTAATTTTTACTAATGCAATCATCAGATGATTATTTTTATTAAATTAACTATAAATTAATATTTCATATCTATAAATAAGTTGTAATGCAATAAATAAACAAAATAGATAACTTTATAAATAAAATATCTTTTATTACAAACTGGATGATTGAAAATTAAGAACATGATAACAAAGAGAGCAGTTATTTAGAGGGCTTTTAAGGCGAAAGGGCAGCCCTCATAGTTGAGCAAGTCTTGGCCAGACTATGGTAATTCCACAGGCTTTATGTTCCAAATGTCCCGGGCATATTCATGGATGGTTCTGTCGCTGCTGAAGTTGTACGAAAGCCGCGGTATCCATAATCGACATTCTTGTCCATCTCTGCCAAACACGATTACAGAACGTTAGAAAAGCGTACGTTATAAAAAATTATGTGTCCGAATCGAGTACTTTCGCAAGATAATAGGCGAAAGGGATGTTGTAAAACAATGGAAGAGCTTGCTCTTAACTAACACGTGCATGGATTTGTAATGTGAGCATTGAGCAAAGGAAAAGGGTTACTTTCTGGTTTTTATAAGCTTCATCCACCTTTGCTTGGCATTCTATATAACTAGGGAAGTCTTCACCAAAAGGAAATAGTCTGCACAACCGAAACCTTCGTTTCCTTCTAACGATCCCTACATTTCAGCGTAGCTTGAGGAACCGAACACACCGCACCTCACAAACTTCTTAACTTCTTCGAATCGAGGATCTGGGATGAACTGCGGTAAGATGTCAACTATGTCAATGATGAGAAAAGAAAACTAAGGCAGAAAAAGGAAAACTGGTTATCTTGCCCTTGCGAAAGCATACCCCCTCGGCTCTTTCTTTCCGAAGTCCATCATCTCGTTAGCTCTAGCCCCGAAGAGGAAAAAGTTGCCTTCCCCAACCTTCTCGTATTTCGACATTGGCACCAACCAAGGTCCCAATCAGAATGCAACCGTTCATCGCAAACTTCATATTGCTGGTTCCACTTGCCTCCATCCCAGCAGTACTGCATAAAGGGAAAAAAACATAAAACAACAGATAGAAATTCAGATGCCTCACTGATTTAAATCTCTCCTATAAACCCATAGACCGAGCTCATTTTTATGTCGAACCACAACAGCTTGAGCTCGATTAATCTTCATGCTTGAACTCGATTAAGCTACAAAGAAGATTATACCTTTTACAAGTAGGAGTTTTAAAGCAAGCTAGGAAACTTCCTTGCTTCCTATGTTACTCGGACTTAGACCTGCAGGACACGAGTACATGTCCAGCGCAGCTATACTCAATATTTTAAAGTAGTTTCATGAAGTTAAGGGTCATACCCTCATTCCTATGTCCGAATATGCATCCGATACGGATACTTCGACAAAAATAGAGTCAAAGTAACATGGCCTGTTTACATTATGTGAAGAATTATCCATACAATGAATAAATTCGAGATACCTGATATTCTGTGATAGCTCACTTGCAGGGATAAGTAATTCAGCCACACTCACATTGTAATCAGGAACAAAAATAACCTGAAATTAGAACACAATAAGGCATTAGATCTGATTAGAGATATCAAAGAAATCAAGTAAACTATTAATACAACGATTTCACATAATGAATTTTTTTTATGGTGATCTCGGGAAAGAACAACTGTATTAGGTTCCTTTATGATATTGTGCAGTCAAGACAGACCTTCAGTAAATCACCAATATCAGGATCATTATTAATTGTAGCATCAACATCAGCAATGAATTTCACAATTCTCTTGGCTTGAACATAAGTGGCAAATGCTTTTCCCCCGAATATGCAAACACGCGGAACAAACTTTTTCTTTCTTTCTGAAGCACTCATTTCTTTCATCATCTTCTACCGGTAAACAATACCCAAAATGTTCAGCAGCTGACACTTGTATTCATGTATGCGCTTCACCTAAAATTCTGAACAACAATGGTCTAAAAGTATTCATAGCATTTATCACCTACATGTACTTTTTGCTTACATGATAACTGTTTTGACTTCTTCGATGATATGTACAGTTCTTTGATTACTTTTTAGGAAAGCAAGGCTGACGAGAAAGTACCTGGGCATCGAACATTGAATCAGGGCTTACTATATAGCCAGTCTTTTCTTTAATGAGGGATGCAACCTTTAACTTGTTGCTCCTTTTTTCAGCCCTCCACTGGGCTTGAAGATCCTCATTATCTGCAAACTATGAGCATATGCCACAACACTGATTAAGGTCTAGAAAAAAACGAAGGATTCAAACGTTTTCTCATATGTATACAAAGACAGATATGCATTTTTATATACAAAGACAAATGTGCTTCATAGATATCAGAATCCTAAAGGCTAGCTATTTCATGAAATAATATCGGTGCCTGAATTTCACAAGCAATGCCTAATCTGTGAAATAACAACAAATATTAGATATAGGCATGTACATAATTGGCAAGAAGAATGGGACTAGATTCTACAAAAGACAATCAGGGAGTTTTTTTCTTGTGAAAAGCATTTCAGAATGCATGACCGATGTCACGAAATATCATCACTGATCATTCACAGGGTGTAGTAATTTCACTTCTACGAAACATTCCAAATGATTGTACAAGAAGTTTTACAAGAAAAAGAAAAGCCTCAGATATGGCAGAATACCTTTCTAAGTTCAGACAACTTTTCAGTATTTACAATCCAATCTTTTGAGCCTGTCCAGCTCGTTATAATTTTACTCAAGTCTGGATTGCAGAAACGGATCCATCTTCTTGGTGTGACCCCATTTGTTTTGTTTTGAAATTTCTCAGGCCACAACTGCCAAAATTTGAGCACAGAGATCAATAATTGGATCATGAAGTTGAATACTTTTTGTAATTAAAGGAAGAGATTTTATAAAATTGCTTTTACCTGAAAAAATCATTAAAAACATCATCTTTTACTATCTCACTATATATGTATCGCAGCAACTCCGTTGACTGCATGACCACCTACGACACAAAGGTTAGCCATACGAACCAACTTAGGGGGCTCTGGTACTGGTTCCAGGATCTTCTTTTTCTTCTCTTGAATGCCTTTCTTCACAGATTTACATTTTCTATCAGCAGGCTTGAGTTCTTCATCATCTTTTTTTTCCTCTTCAGATTCTCCATGTTCATCAGTGGAAACAGCAACAGGACTTGTCTTGGGTTTAACTAGCAAATCAGAGAACTCAGCTGGCAGCTCAACATTTTCTAAAATCCTCATCAGTTTCAGCTTCTTATGCTGTAAGTTAGAATTGTTGCGGAAGACGGCTATCGGATAGAGAAAAATCACAACTGATAATTTGAGAAAATAAAAAAAAGATAAAATAGATATAAAATTTACGTGGAAAACCCCTAAATAATATAGGGTAAAAACCACGGGCAACGGTAGAAGAATTTCACTATGAGAAAATAGGAATTACAACTTCTCTCGATCTACCAAGGAGAAAACAATGATAATTCTCTCTTGATTAAAAAGAAGAAGGAGAAAACAACTCTCAAGAAACTCTCTAAATTCTCTAGTATTGGAAGAAAGCTAGAATGATTTGGGATATTTTTGAAGCTAAATAAGCTAGGGTATTTATAGTAGAAGTTTAAGGACTAATTTATAAATGCTCTAAATTACAATTGCTAAATTATGATTATACCATTGTCTAAAATTCAACATTTTCTGCCACCTAAAGCAATTTTCACTTTCGGTGGATTTTTTTCTTTCTTTATTATCACTTTTCGGTGACTGAGAAGACTTTTCAACAATCTCGCACTTGAAGATTTAATTGGAACATCATATCTTCACATTCTTTATACCTTGTACCTTCATGTTGCTTACGTCTCTGACAGGCCACAAGAGGATCGACACCAGGTAAATTTATCAGAGTTGATCGCCTTCGTCATGAAATCTGTTATGTTGTCTTTGGTATGGATCTTCTGCATATCTACTGTCACTTCTTCCACCTTTTCACAAATGAAATGATATTGAACTCGTATGTGCTTTGTCATTGAATGAAATGCTGGATTCCTAGCTAGATGCAAGGCGCTTTGACTGTCACAAAACAGAGAGACATACTCTTGATTGTGCCCAAGCTCCTCCAATAACATCTTCAACCAAATTGCTTATTTACTGGTTTGTGTAGCTGCTACATATTCTGCCTCTGTTGTGGATGTAGCCACAACTAACTGTAATTTTGAAACCCAACTTACTGCTCCACCAATAATTTTGAACACATATCTTGTAGTAGATTTGTTTTTATCCAAATCCCATGCATAGTCAGAATCTACATACCCATTGATTAGTAAATTTGATCCTCTGTAACATAATGCAACATTTGAGGTCCCTCTGATATATCTCAGGATCCTCTTTACTGTATTCCAATGCTCTTTGCCTGGATTCGCCATGTATTGACTAACCATTTACACTGCTTGTGCAATGTCTAGTCTTGTGTATATCATAGCGAACATTAAACTTCCCACTGCCGATGTATACGGTACTCGAGACATTTGCATCCTCTATTTTTCACTGCTAGGACTCATACTGGAGGATAATTTGAAGTTAATAGGAAGAGGGGTAGAAATTGGCTTACAATCTTGCATGCTGAATCGTGACAAGATCTTCTTCAAGTAATTCTTTTGTGAAAGCCAAATCTTCTTATTACTTTTGTCTCGGTGAATTTGCATTCATAGAATCTTGTTTGCTGATCCCAAGTCCTTCCTTTCAAATTCCCTAGCCAATTGTGCCTTCAATTCTTCAATATGATCTTTGTTGGGTCCTGCAACCAACATGTCATCTACATACAACAACAATATAACAAAATCATTATCACCAGACCTCTTGAAATAAGCACAAGGGTCTGCATTAAGTCTGTTGTATCCAAGGCACATAATGAAGGAATCAAATCTCTTATACCAACACCTCGGCACATACTTTTAGATCGTACAGAGATTTGTTTAACCTGCAAACCAAGTTCTTTTATTTTTCTTCAAAACCTTCAGGCTGGAGCATATAAATCTCTTCTTCAAGATTTCCATGAAGAAAAGTTGTTTTAACATCTAGCTGCTCTAGATGTAAATTCAATATAACACACATTGCCAAGACTACTCGAACTGTTGTTAGTCGAACCACAGGAGCAAAAATTTCATTAAAATCAATACATTCTTTTTGAGCATATCCTTTGACCACCAGTCTTGCACGATACCTCTCAACTTGATCGTCACCATTTCGCTTGATTTTGAAGACCCATTTGTTACCAATTGGCTTCCTTCCTTGTGGTAGTGGCACAAGGTCCCATGTATTATTTTTATGAAGGGCTTCAATTTCTTCTTGCATCGCCATCATCCATAGTGAAGCATCTGAGCTGTTTATTGCCTCCTGGTATGTTGATGGCTCACCGTCCTCTGTTAAAAGACAGTATGCAATATTACCTTCTATATCATAATCTGAGTGTCAATTGGGACGTCTTCTCACACGATCTGATTGACGAGTTGTTGGAGCTTCAGAACTCTCTGGTTCTTGTTCATCATGTGCTGGTTCTGCTTCAGAAGAATCTCCTTGTTCAACCTCCTTGTCCACATGTATCTATGTAGTCTCTGACTTTTCAGCATTATCATCGTCTTCTTTTCTTTGTATTTTATCCTTCTACAAAGATAACATCCCTGCTAATGATCACTTTGCGGGCAGTGGGATCTCACAAGCGATACCCCTTTACTCCATCAGCATACCCCAAGAATTTACATTTCTTGGATTTTGGATCCAACTTTGAAATTTATTGGGAGTTGTACATCACATACACAATACTTCCAAATACATGGAGGTTTGAATAATCAGCTGGTTTACCAGTCCACATCTCCATTGGTGTCTTCAGCTCTATTGCAGTTGATGGAGCTCGATTCACCAAATAACATGTAGTATTGACTGCTTCTACCCAGAATGATTTTTCTAGGTCTGCATCCCTCAACATTGCTCTTGTTCTTTCTAACAAGGTTTTGTTCATCCGCTCTGCCACTCCATTTTGTTGAGGAGTGTTCGTCACTGTGAACTGTCTTTTGATGCATTCTTTTCTGCAAAAGTCATCAAATTCTTCACTTGTGTATTCCCCTCCATTATATGTTCTGAAACACTTGATCTTATTTCCAGAATCAAGTTCCATCCGCGCTTTAAAGTTTTTGAGAGTTGAAAACACATATGACTTCTTCTTAATAGGGTACACCTAACATCTCCTGGAGTAGTCATCAATGAATGAGACAAAGTATTTTGCTCCGCCTAGGGATGTAACTGGTGCTTGCCATACGTCAGAGTGAACCAATTCTAGAACACCTTTGCCTCTAGAATTTGATGTGTTGAATTTCAACCGGTGCTGCTTACTTGTTATGCAATGCTCACACTCACACAAAGGAAGTGATAACTTTGTTAAGCCTAGAAGTAGCTTTTGCTCCACAAGGACTTTCATTCTTTGTTCTGACATGTGTCCAAGTTTCTGATGCCATAGCATTGCAGAATCTGAACTACATGAGGTAACAGAGGCTTTTGCTTCTAGCAAAGTCTCCCCTTTCAGCATGTACAAGTTTGTTGCTATCTTTTCGTCTTTCAACACCACAAGCGCTCCACGGGACACCTTAATGATTCATTTTCGTGTTTCAATCTTGCTTGCATTATTATCCAACAATCCGTAGGATAATAAATTTTTCTTCAGGCATTTCACGTGCCGCACATCTCGAACAACTTTAATTGTTCCACCATACATCTTCAATTTGATGGTTCACACGCCAACGATCTTTAAGGCATGATCATTGCAACTATACACAGATCCTCCTGAGACAGGTTCATAATGGTAGAACCATTCTCTTCTTGAGGCCATGTGATATGTTGCTCCCGAATCAATGAGCCATATATATGTATCTCTTTCTACCTTCC